CACTGCCACTGCCACTATACAACGTCACCACATTAATAATACTAATACGTGTTTTTCCCGAGCGTTCTGAGCTAGGCGGTTCTGTCCTTGGCCTTGACATTATATTAGCATATATATTTGCTGGTAATGATATTACGTCAAACGCTTGTTATTGCTTTAGGTTTGACTGGTCGTACATCTATGGAATAGACAGTAAATTTAAGTCCTTGATATGTGGTCGGGCTAATGGTAACCCTTGGTAACACTTAAATACACACACAAGATATACTCGTATAATTTGTGTCAAAAATCTGTCTTGACATTGAAGCGTGTGGTTGGATGTGGTTGCCGGTTGATGTTCTAGTGGTGGTAGATAGTGGTAGTGGTAGTACGCTACTACTAGTAGTAGTAGTATAGTAGTAGTAGTAGTAGTAGTGGTGGTGGTGGTGGTAGTGGCAGTAGTAAAAGTTGTAGTAGTAGACGTAGTAGCGAAAACATATATAGTTGTAGTCTAAAGCGCATGCGTAGTAAAATCCCAACTTCGACGACGAGCTAAATCACTCCACAATATAACACAACACTAGTAAAGTCACTATCGATAATCGTAGTATAAACTGTTGCGAGGAGTCAGTTCTGAAAATCTGTTGCCGAGTGCAGACAAAACCAATGAGTCAAATAATAAAAACACAGGTAGTTAAAAACCTACTAAATGAAGATTCACCTCAAGACATGAAATCAGTCYAAATAGAAAACCAAGAAGTTGCGTGTCACTACACATACCTATTTATCTTGGAGGAAGATAGCGCTCTAATCTTGATTGATACCAAGTGGCCAAATAGATTTAGGTTTCTCGTGCATGCATTTCGCACGTCAGTACGGAGAAAAATTATAAAGGATTTTTTTTACCATGTTTTTAAAAAATTTCTTTCAGTTTCCGTCCACAAGTGATGCATATTTCATGTCGTTCCCTTCAGCGATCTAACTGTCGCTATTATGCACGCTCAATATACGGTTTCCATTTCATTTACGCACATATCTTTCTTTTTTTTTCTTCAACTGCATGTCAAAGCGCCAGACGCACAAAGCTGATTCTTTTTGGAAAAGCTTTTGAATTAATATTTAATATTTTTCAAAGACMCAGAAATATCACTAGGATTACCTTACGAGTTTACTTTGTTTAGGCTTCTTATTTGCATGGGTTTATTTAAAACACGCTGGACACTCGGCATTTCACGCAGCACACGGGAAAATCACGCAGAGAGAGGCGCCAGTGACGAACATGATGCGACCTATTCAAGAAATAACACCAAAAACGACTGGCGTTTTCTGGTTTCATGGAGAARTAGAAAATGATTGATAACGACAGCATACTAAATATTAATGTTGGAGTTAAAGGGAACGTGTCAAATAGTCGTCCATCTCTCAAGCTAAACACAAACTGAACCGACGTAAACCCGCACGTTTCCCATATAAGTAATTTCCTATTTGAACAACTTGACTTGGAAATCATTTTGGAAATTTCTATATAGGATAGATATATGTGTAGCCCGGAGCGTTATTGACATAAGCAGCATGCAACGAACATGTAGACCATGTGTTATGWTTCCTGTAATTTAAAGTATGACAACATCACCACGCGTGCTTATTCGTTTCTGAAATAGTATACGAAAATAATCTGGCAAAAATAGAGCGAGTGTTCTGCAGTCGTTGGACTGACTGCTCTAAAGCAGAAGAGTGGTATATCTTAAGTAACATCGTTTGACGTGCGGAATTTTCAAAGGATTCCGGCGCTTAAAAAAATAGGCGGAAAACATGACAATTCTGTTTGCATTTGTCAAAAAAGAGTTTTTTTGCACTTTAGCTCGCGATTCCATTTTTGATTGAAGGCTGTTGCGTTATCCAAATGCTCTGCACTTTTTTATGCTCATCTTGATCCGGTTTTTGATCAAAATAAGCGATCTTTAGACTACGAGTCTCCTTCAGGGTATTTATTGCGTCTTCAGAAGGATCTAAAATCATTCTGATAGATTCTATTCAGATGAAAGCATACACAAAGCGTACCAATGTACCGATATATGACAACGATAAAGCCCAACGGTGCTACTTAGATTTAAGCTAGACCTTTGAATATTTGATGGTAAGCTCACGACAAAGGTATCTTTAAGGATTGAAAAGGTCGATAAAGACGAAACTAGTTTCCGTAAATACTCCTTGATTTTGAAAGCGTAAAAGATTATTTTAAAGGTTTAGAACTTGTATCATGAAACTCACGGCAGAAAGAATTAATCAAAAGGCGATATGTGTGAATACAAACAAAAGCAATATCAAACGCATCCGAAACACTATAAAGGTTTTCGAAATGTTTTCGTTTTTATGTATAAACTCAATATCCAAAAATCCTCTGCAAACACAAAGAACGCTACGTGAATTCTCTAATTAAAGCTTCGGAGCAGAAGTATATATTGTTTGGTTACAAACACACAAAATTAACCCCAAAAATTCTAATTAAAATTTTCTTTATTTAGGTGCTTGGTTGTGAGTTTTGTTTTGATGAAAATTGCTAGAAAGCGGTGCAAGGAGATTGACATGAAAAAGGGCGGAGAGCTTCGCTCAATTAGACTACTTTGCTCAATAATTTTCTTGTAATTTATTCTCATTTTAACCTATAGTAAAGTCAAATCAAAAAGATCTAGTAATCAACGGTTATGGATGAGTTACGAAACTGTACCCAAGGCGTATAGCCAAARATATAATCCCCGCAAAACATTTTACGGTGAAATCACCCCGACTCTCCCCTTCCTAGAGAAATCTCTTAATACGATTATTTTTTCTGATTCTCTTAAAACGTTGTCAATTAAAACATTTACCCCCGCCAAAAAGCCTCTTTTTGCGCCCCCGACATTACAGKAGCTCCGAAAAACAAACTTTTGGAAATATTCGAAGGAAGTTTCAATTTGGCAATTTGTCTTTGTTGAAATTTAGTCGAGTATCTATTAGCAAAGAATATCTGATAGTTTGGCTGTTTTCCTCACCTCGCTCTACCGGACTTCTGTGGGTATTTGTGAAGTAATCTTCCCTTGGTTTACTCTACCGAAAGATAGCTTAAAATATCATCGAAATGAGTGGGCAATCGAATGTCAATAGCAGCACTTTAAAGCCTAAATGTCTGTCAAAAGTGTTTATCAGAGTCGAATACGCAAGCTTCTTTCGCTTCGGTTGGTAAATTCGACCTGTGTTCCGGGGGAATAMGGTTTATAACAATTAGAAACGGGTGGTACAAGGACGGCTGAAACTGTCTCCTGAAACTGCATGCAGTATTTAAATGGTCACAAAATGACAAGTTATATTTTTAAAATACACGATTTTYCCCCACAGTTTAGCGTTAAGGGGGATTCAAAATATTAACCAGTCGACCTAAAAGTAGCACGTTTCTACGCTTCGCGTACTGTCGACGAGTTAAATTTAATTTTTATGTAAGGCATGACCTATAATTTCAATGCACCTGCAATAGTAAAAGCTGCTGGGATATGTAACATCGAAAATGTCACGCTCACACCCTTGCTACTTTACAAAGAGCGCTCCCGGCCCCCTCCCCCTCCCTGATAACCTAAAATATGCTAGACAAGTTCTTTCAGCTTATACGTAGATTTTGACCACCACTGAAGCAGTTACGTATTAGCACTTACGTACGTACATGCGATTTTTTTTATTATTATTGAATTTTCTATTTGTCTTTTTATTTATTTTTTTTTCTGGCATAATTGATTAAGATCTGAAAATGAAAACTTAAACGAAAGTCTGAGAAAATGTTGGGAAAAATAATGTCAGTATTTTCTAAACGGCTTTGTTTTAATTCTTAGGCTGAGTTGCGTAAAGCAAAACAATATTGGGATATCGTTAGGTTGTTCAATATCTATCAATGATGGTCAGTGTTATGAGACAGGCGAGCATGCGCACTAGGAGACAGATTGCCAATATTGATAATGTTAAGCGTAGACCTTTTCAGCTTAGTTATCATGGTTTTTATTTCATTTTAGATCTAGAACACGTGTCAGTCATCTCTTTCGATAAACGTGTTTTTTTACATATGTCTCATCAATATTCATGAAGCGATCACCTCAGGCGATAGAGCGACAAACAAAGAAATAATACTCAAGGATACGACGTATTAGTTCATGGTCGATCTAATCTTGTAAATCTAGATCATTCTCGTTCCCAGCTAGAAATATCGAGATATTGGCGAAGAAAGTGGTTAGATTAAGGAGGCTGAAAGTGTAAAGTGTACTGATGAAGAAAGGTTCTCGGTTGGTTAAGGTTTCGTTCAAGAGTCTTCAATTTACTTCTACGAAGGACTAACGCCGTCCGAAACGTCAGTACAGTTCATGACGAAATATTTACACATTTCCTTCTTGTTTTCTTAACGCATCAACGCAGTTTTAACTAGTGAACCGCTACTGAGTCATTATTAGTTTACAGTGCTACTATGTGAGTTGTATGTGCTAGCTGYTTAGATGAGTGTTGAAGCGTTCATAATAAAAAAAATAATATATAGTTTATATGTTAAGTGTATGCTAATAATATATAGTTTATTAAATGTTAATGTATTTATTAGGGACACTAAAAATAAAAAAGTAAATTCAAAGAAAAAATATATGAAATAGGTAGAAAACTAACAGATATATATCTTTATATGAATCTATCTAATCTCATCTAAATATAGTGGATTGATGAGTTGAATAGGTTTTTTTGGTGTTGCTCAGTTGACAGCCGGATTCATTTTTGTGTGTGCAATGGGTTGATTCTGATTTCACAAACATAAAACAAAAACAAAAAAATTAGGTAAAAAGGTGCTGAGAAAATCCTCATTTGGCCTAATGACTAATGATATCYGTGACTGGACAATATTTCTGGACGTAAAACGTGAATCTAAAGTCGAGTTCATGATTTTAGTTAATCACTAAGGATTTCCTATATAACTGAATACTTGGCAAGGATTACAAAATAACCGAGTTTCCTTCCATTAACTTATGTCCGTGAYACACTAGTATTTGGCCTTGCAAAGTAGGGATTTATATTTTCAACTGCTACTGACGAAGTCTTAAAAGTCGTTTAGAAATATCAATCATGGGGTAACAAAACACAAAGGAACTAGTCAGACTGTGAGCAATAACGTCAGAATTACAAAATGGACGCACCGTGACATCCCAGGATTAATTGGTATTGTAACGCTGTGACTGCCGTATTTTTCTTATCTTTGTTCTGGACGGGATTCCAGTCAAATACCAACTCCTTACAAAACTTACAACTGACCTCGTATACTAAATGGACGCACCGTGCATGCATATTTCTTATATGAGGTGTGGCCTCTCGCGGAACAGATTCGCCGCGCTATTCAAAACGGATACCGAAAACTTCAGTTTCTGCAAAAAAGACCCATCATCATAGATGACATCTTTGAAAAAAAAAATCATTGTAAATTAAGGCGTGAACCACACAAGATACAACTTTCCACATGTATTTCGATCGTATGAATCTTGCAACTTCGGCACGATATGTCGCTTGAGATGACGAGGGTAGAGGAGAAAGCGACGTTTTGGACGTCGCGCGCGCAACGTCGCATAAACTTTGCGCCAAGTTTCTGGGTCAATAGAACTGCATGTTTTATTCATGACAAGCTCGGTTAGTCTATACGTTTCTCTTGAAATAAAATATAAAGAAACAGATGGCCATAGAGGGGGGAAAACAAATAAATAGAACATGACTAAATGGAATTTGAATTGAAAAAAAAAACAAAATGCGTAAACACCTATTAATAATTTTATATTAGATGAGAATTCAGATCACTCATTGTCTTTCGTAGCTGTCGCCGCAAAAAWCTCGACTTATCAGTCAGCCAAATATCTTCTGATTTTTTGCCGATTCAAAGGAAATAATTCTAGCTTAATTAATCTTTGAGATTCAAAAGACAGTTAAYGACTTTCATTTTACCGAGATGAAAAGGCCAAATGTATTTCCTGGACCAAATGCCGTCTGATGACTTTAATCCTCACCAACAAGGCCAATAATGGACTATTAGTTGTTCAGTTGTATTCTGATAATGGTATGGCTTGTTCGCTTGCCTAATAATCGTTCAAAGTCCCGCGGCAAAAGATACGTGACTAGAACCGACAAGCTAATATCCCGCCAGTGAGCCGAGAATATTCCTAAATACATGCGCAAGTATCCGTGCGTTTTGTTTGTAGAGCAGAATTATAAGAAATTGATCTGTTCACTTATAGTCATAGGATTGTCAAATAACGTGACTTTCCTGTTATTCTCTATAGAATTTGCWGTCATTTGTGTAAAAAGATAGACTTAGATGAATCTGATCGTTGCTAAAAAATACGTTATTAACTTAGAACTGAACATGTAGTACAAACGATCGATTAAGAGCTAATCTGACTAATGATACCTCCTTAATATCAACCAAAMATATAGTTTAACTACTGTATTTGAATTTTTCTTACTTTCCTTTCACGATTTTTATTTYCATTTTCGATTACCCTGGGAGGAGAGCGCTAGGTTGTTATTTTTTCCACTTGGTAGGGCTGAAAGGCAGACGGAGGGAAGAAAATACCTCTGCTAGCAGGGCACTTTCCGGGTACAATCGCTGTTCAGCCCCTTAGTGAAACTACAAATAGGTAAGAATGGATGATAGAATAATAATAATAATAAAAATAATAATAATAATGATAATAATAATAATAATGTCTTTGTTTTCGAGAGGGTGACACGTGACAGTAGCCAACTCTCCATTGACAAATTTGTGGCCCTTATGTTTAACATCNGAGAATGCACCAAACTTTTCTTCAAGCTGCAAAAGTAATAATAATAATAATAATAATAATAATAATAATAATAATAATAATAATGAGAACGACAAGATACACTGGATACAGTGGATACACTAGGATAATAATAATAATAATAATAATAATAATAATAATAATAATAATAATAGAATAAATAATAATTAACGAAAACGATGGAATATTTGTACGTTAGGCAAAAAGATAGTAATGCTTTGCAAAATTCTTTCTTTCTTTCTTTCTTTCTTTCTTTCTTCCTTCCTTCTTTTCTTTCTTTCTTCTTAGCTTCTTCATGTCTAGTTACCTTGCAAGATATATATATCTTCAAACTGAATCATAAATGGCAGACTAGAAAGAAGTTCGATCACTCTGTAACATTTAATAAATGAAGATGACTCGATCATGTAATGCTATGGCATTATGTGAACACCGTATCGTTAATACCTGTCTTTCAAAGTAAGGGGGAAATTCTTCTTTTAAGATTACTAAAAGCTTCAAGCCTAGTGGTCCATTCGATCTCTGGTTTTCACTATTTGGGGATCCCACCCAACAATACATTACGTCACACAGACATCAGTCATCCCCAGGCCTTCGCCTTCTTGAGTCCCAGATACTTTGGTCACGTGTTATTCAATTCTAGTGGTTGCAAAGTTGCAAAATTATCCCCCAGTCCTTCCCATTCTTCCTCGTTATTTATATCCTTCTGGCTATTGTTCCAGCATCGTAAGTCAAGTTGGTGCAAAGTTGTTTACATAGGATGTATCTAAGGTACCATCCGAGTCAATGTATATAATTTTGCGGTAAACAGCAAAATTGCTATCACCTGTTCAGTTTTAAAACCCTTTTTTTTCCTCTTTAACAAATCCTCTATTGTTAATCATCATTGTCAAAGAATTCAACATTATGCAGGCGCCAGTACGACGGCTATCAGAGACTAACTACTGTCTACTAATTGATGTTTTGCGAAGTTAACTTAAAGAAAATACATGTGAAGTGGTCTCCCAGCAATTAAAGCTGTTGATGGCTTCGTCTTTTATAAAAGAAAAAAAAATTTTTTTTCATTTAAAAGTTTTGGCTAAAAGCTCAAGAGGGCACTAGAGTGTTGGCTATTAAGTGTCTTGTTTTCTCGTTTGTCGGCAGAGCCTTCGGAGAGGTATTCTTTTCACAAATCCGTTGGTAATGCAAGATTTAAATAAATATGTACAACAAAGTTTGAAAACATCTTTGAATGAAGAAATATTAAAAATAAGTTTTTGACACAAAAATTGTGTCAATGGACTATTACGCAAAAAAAAACACGTAGCATAGGAGTAGCTTACAATTACAGTCTGTTCTGATACGAAAACATTGGTGCATAGATCAAGAGTGCGTATACTTCTTAGAAGAGTAAAGATTAAGGGTATATAATACAAGATCTATGTATGAGTTATTGTGCATTTTTAACTCTTTTCTTACCTTAACTATATGATTCAAAAGTGTTTACTCTTGGTGTCGTATTTTCTGTTTTTGAAGCTTATCAATAAAGATATACTTCGATGTTAAAGGCCGATAATTCAAAGCCAAGTCAGAGAACATTCACTTTAACTGCAGCTTCCCTTTATATCAGCCACCTATGAGTAAAGATGGATACATAGTACGTCAGCTGTGCTTACGAGTCGCACGTACGCCAAAATATAAATAATGTATAAGAACAAAGACGTTAGCCAAGATCAATATTCCCATCAAATACTGGCTAGAGAATGGAACGCGAAAATACCGTTAAAACGCAAAAATTACTGACACGAATACGGCGAACTCTCTCTCTCTCTCTGTTACATAAGCTCTTTTGACGATTGTTTACGAGTGATCAGCGTCAAGAGGATTGCGAATCCAGTGATTAGAATATACTGAAGTATAAGCAATATATCAATGACCTGGACGAGAGCATTGTTGGAAGAATATAAAAACATGGATCGATCTTTCTGAGGCGCCCAGCGTCTTCTGTGCGGTAGATTTGTGTCATATCACTAATAAATAAGCTTAATTAAAGATGGTAAATGGGAGTTTAATGTCAACAAAAAAAAAAAGAAAAAAAAAGCCAAAACAAAACGAAACAAAACAAAAAGAAAAAAAAACAAAAAAAACAAAACAAAAAAAACAAACAAAAAAAACCGCAAGAAAGCGAGAAAAAAGAAAGAAACATTGAAGAAAAGATAAAAATAATAGCGCTCAATCTGCTTCCATTCCCTTAAAAAAAAAACAGTTCTTCTAAACTGCAATTAATACTACGTCACCTTTTCGTACAACAGGATTATAACTCTTGCGCTAGTAAAATTCAAAATGTTGGCGTAGTCTGGTATAAATGCATTATAGCGATCGATATACTATTATCTCGCCATGATTAATTTTAAGAGGTCTATAGTACCAATATAATGCTTTTGAATCGCCGGCACGCGTCCAATTGAAAGGATATATACCAATTCTTAACTATAGATTCAGTCTAGCAGGGCTGCTTGAGTGTTCGAGCCCTCTGGGGAAATGATTATTGATATCTGGTATTCGATTCCTATTTTATTCCCATTTAAATTATTTTTTTATTCCCTTTTTTCAGTTTCTAAAACTAGAAAAAATCTAAAGGTGTAACAACTTTGATATGTAAAAGATCTTAGAAGGAGCATGACAAACGTACGGTATACGCTGAAAATTCGCAGGATTTAGAATAAATCTATTGACCAAATTTCTATAAATGACGAATAAATGTGTATATGTCGATTGGAAATTTGTAAAATACATATTGTAAAATACGTGTGAGGTCAACTACTTGTACAAATGAAGCAGGCAAGTATTATACTACAAAGATAAGGGATTACAAGGTTCAAAATCTATTGATTGTATGCATTGTCATAAGTGGTCTGCTTACACAACTAGATTCAATGGTTTTGAATTCAGGTGTTTCTAGCGCGAGTAGGGTTTGAATGTTGTAACCAAAACACACAAAACTAGGAAAGAATTAAAAAGCACACAATGAGAAATTCTTCACCAAAGAAGTATATTTGTTTATCTTAAGCAGATAGTTTTGCTTCTGGATCGTTCTTGTTTTCAAGGAGTCTCCGGAAGACTTAAGATTTGAGGGGATTTGTAAATGATAAGACGATAGACTTTGTTTTTCTAGAAATTGAAAAGGAGACTGAAGTGGATAAACGTGTAGAATGCCAGATAAAAAGATACAATTTATAACAATGTACCAGCAGTACTTAAGCTATCAAACTCAGGTCGTATTGCATGAATTCTGTGACTATGCATAGATTAGCAATTTTGAGATATTTTTAGACGTCATTAACATTTAGACGTCAGAATCCATGGAACACCCTTTTGTGAGAGCTAGTGAAGCCAATCGTGTTCTTTACGCTCAGTAGAATGAAATTGGAACCCCTCTGTGTAAAGTCGAATCACGCAAGATTTTTCTGCGTCGCGGCCATTTTTGCATCCTGGCGGGTTTTGCATTCAATTCTCCCTTTTAAAATCATCCTGGATCATCCACTGCCCTTCAAATCAAGATATTTCTTTTACCTAGGAAAGATAAACTTTAAGAAGTCCACTTGAAAACGTATTTATATTAGTCATACATAACAATCAGACGAGCTTTCACTATAAAAGTCTCATTCCTATCCTCTGAGAAAAAGATCATTTTTACCTAGTTACCCCAGTAATGCAAACCAGCCAATCAGAGTAGTTTTGAGAACGTTTCTGGAGTTGCTATATTTAGATGATTCAAATTCGTTTCTCACACAAATCAACCATGTACATATAGGTTTGTTGACAGCAAACAAACATTTCCTTATCAATAGTTCAAGGTCTCAGACACACAGAGTGCAATACCGCTGGGCTTTTGTTTCTTTTTCCCTCTGGGCAAAGAATTCAATTGATGACTTATGGAATCAAAATCTAGTGCTTTGAACAAAGACCAAATATATCTGACGATTTGATATGAGAATTATATAATGACCAATTAAAGGTAAAGAATCAACACATTGTCCCCCGTTTACTCAGTGCTTTATTGAAGACCAAAATTTGAACAGCTCTGAGAATATGCCTTATTTACGCAATGTTTTCCATGCAAGATAATTGCTTTTCCCATTTTTTGACTGGCGGATTTTTTAAGCTCAAGTTTGCCTACCAATAGCTCTGAATATGCTTTGTTTATCAAATGTTTGAGTTTAGTAAAACCTCGTTAGCATAGACGCTATACAGTGTTACTTGCCTCAAGGACTATTTTCTTTCGGGCAATTAGTCCTCAATAACTGAAAATGCAAACAACGGCATTTAAACTATATTATGTTATATTAATATGTAATATTTCTAGCACCATCTTCTTGTGATCATCACAGACAGTGTCTGTACGTTTTTTCAAAAAGATTATATGGGTTTATTAATTGTTTGATGTTGTTTATAATTTGAAGCTTGTTTGACAAGATCATTAGCTAGCTGCTGCGCGTTGCGATATGAATATGCCTTTTTAGCTAGTAACCATCTCATTGTCAAAAGCCTTGAAAAATTATCGTCAATTATTGACAACTATCTCGTCGTATCTTTCTGTGGTTTCGTGAAATGCGCATGCTCATGAAATAACATGAAAGGAATGCAACAGAAGAGCCCTGGACACGAATCCGGTTCCAAAGGACCGCAGACTCAAAAGGACCTCAGGCTCATTAAACGCGAGGTTGGCAAAAATCGCTGGAGGGCAAATAACACGCCCTAATATAGTAATGATTCAATAATTTAAAGGCTCCAAAAACTTGGTTTTTAGATCGAATAAATTCTTCATTAACATTAATCAGATTGAACAAGAATCTTGTGTTTTATCTACTCTTTCCTTTTTTCTTTTCTTTTCTTTYCTTTCCTTTCCTTTCCTTTCCTTTCCTTTCCTTTCCTTTCCTTTCCTTTCCTTTCCTTTCCTTTCCTTTCCTTTCCTTTCTTCGGCCGTTCTTTCTTCCTTCCTTTCTTTCTTCCTTTCAGTTTTTTTCTTCCCTTCACATTTTCTCTTTCTTTTTCTTCTTGAAATTCAAGCTTTCGATCCTTTGGCTCACATTCAGGGATATAAAAGAATGACAACATTTTAATCACACGAAAAAAAAAATGTAAAAATTAAATCACGAGGTCTAGGTTGGGTTGAAATTAAGTCGTACAATAGCGTGAGAATACTGGCCAACCGATGAAGAGCGTGCATATGCAAACAAGCTGCCAGTAAAATTTATTTGTGCAAAAGTTGGAGGTAATATGGCGGTAGACCAACCAGATTAATCATATCATTATTTAAGAGGAAGGCTTTTAATTTTTTTTAGTTGATTCCGTCACCACTGTTTGTCTGGTCAACTCATCTCTCTCAAAGAGTAAATTACAATCTCTATTTTCTGTACAGCGTTTTAAGTATACTAATGACCTATTATCATACTAATTGAGTAATGAATATTAAACGTTTGAAGTACTTATTTATCTAGTTATATAATTAGCGTTATAAAATAAAAAAATCTATTCTATTTTTTTCTCATGTAGTAGATATAAATTCAGGCTTTGGAACTAGATTTTACTAAGGATAAACTTCTTAATTCTACTGCCCGCCAATTGTATTCTGGCTCCTGCAATTCTTCGCTCGTTTGATTTTCTCTTGAGTCACTGATTATTACAAAAATAAAATGGGAAGTTCTTCACAAATCTTTATATCGATAGTAAAACATAAAAAAAAACTAGAATATTGGAACATAATGCAATGAAACTCAATAATATTTGAGCGTGTTTTGGGCTTTTGCCGGCTAYGCGTGAAACACGATTTTAAGAAGCAAACTACTCGGGTGTAAATCTAGCTCTAGAACTTATTGATATATAYTGAACAAACTATTGGTGTAACAATGTGAATAATAGAAAAGGAGAAATCCTTGTGAAATTCGAACTTCATAACTATATTTACCTTGGATTCGTCTGCTCTTGCTGGACGCGTAACAAAGACACTCCTAGTTAAAGAGTTGAATTCGTGAATTCAGTAGTTCCGCTTCTATGTTCCCACAATTCTTTGCATTGACCTGTACGGATCACTCGTTATTTGATGTAAACATAGGATTGCCTCAAAATATCAAGAAACAACGATCAAAACATGCTAGATGTTGGAATTTAGCTTAGTAATTCTGTGGGGCGAACTCTACTGCTTAGCTAGTGTGCATTGACTATCAGCAAGCGAAAAGACGCCATATAAGTAATAAAAGCGTCCCTAAAACAGCTCCATATTCACTGTTCTGCAAACTCTGAGAGGCTGATTATGCATGAATGGGCGTCCCTTACCTCACGTTCTGTTGACATAGACTAACGATAAATCATAAAATCTTACTACTTTCATGTTATTGGCCTGTAATGCCTTGCTGAAGGGCTCTGCACTTGATATTGATCATGATATACACCACATACGGTCAATGGTCCGCGTTAAGATCTTTCTTCAGACATATTAGAAAAACATTACTAGCAAAACCTTTCTTCAGACAAATTATAGAATCATTACTAGCAAAACCTCAAAATATCAAAATACCATTAGCAAAATGCTTTAAAGGGAGCGCTAACCTAATGATTCCATCTYCTGATACTGTCAATGTCATTAACGTTGTCCACCGAAAAAAGACATTTACACATTTAYRCATTTAGACTAAAAGATATATCACGTGTTTCATTATGTATTCTTTGCCTTGTGTGCGTCAGCCTGAACTTTAAATATGAAATTCAACTCGTGAATTAAAAATCCATAACCCCTGACTATTTAGAGAGGATTTAGGATGGAGAATGGTATTTCAGCAGTTGTTTTATGCCAGAACCTTCGAGGAAACACGTGATATTTCTTTTAGTCTAAATGTGTAAATGTCTAAATGTGTAAATGTCTTTTTTTGGTGGACAACGTTAATGACATTGACTGTATATAAATGGCACAGAAATGTTCTTGATTTTAAATTCTGTTTTTGACTTAAATAAAGTAATGTATAAATTTTTTCTTAAGAGATCACGTGTTTATCTGGGGYCACATGATTGTTGGAAGAAATTACCAGCACTTTGGATTTTCTAGTTTCTTTCTATAGATTTCTTTTCTTTTAAACGAGTTAATTTGATCATTTCAAAGCAGAACACAGAGTCAATGTACAAGTGAAGGCCAGTTTATCCATACAGTATCTCGTCGTATTCCAGTTTTTAATTGTACGCTTCGTTACTCACATCGAGCCAGAGCGAGAGGGGGGAGGGAGGGGGGGAGGAAGGCAAATCCACCAACTTGTTTGCGCCCCCGAAACGCCGAACCAAAATAGATAAATTATAATAAAAAACAAAAACATTTCAAAACCGTTTACGTTTTGTTTTTACAAAACGAAAATTGAAAAGAACCACCAGTATTTTACGAAGGAAAAGCAAATTTAAATTACGGCGATACATCCTAGGAAGCCGCCATTTTGTACCCCGTTGCCTACTCCCCTGGTCCTATCACAGAGTGGAATTTAGCTTTAATACGTCAGTTGTTAGCTCAGACTGAGGGACTAGATTCGCTGACGCAGAGGAACAAAGTTAACGATCGACAGCTTCAAAKAAGCTAAAATAAGTTCTAACATCGTGAATGCGATAAACCTATAATCAGTCACTKTTTTCTCATTTSAGACCACGTGTCATTCTTCAGGTAATCATTTCTTTGTTTAACAGTTGTGCATGGGAAGATACGTGAGTATATGTACGACTCAAAGAAAGACGCATTATATGAAATTATGAGTCAGTGCATTTCTTACCCTCGTCAACCTTTGATTAAATYTTATTTTCACTGCGTGCGTGGGAAAAAAAATTTTTTTTTTCAAACAGTGCTGGATGGTGTTAGAAGRGACCGACATGACAAGAATACCAATTAAGATCGCTGTTTATAAAGAGGCATGCAGTGCGGAATCGTATGACAGAAGTTCTAAAAGTCCAGCCAAATAAAACCTCACTAATACGACCTAATTAATTTGCCTTAACCGACCACCTTGGATCAATCCGACCAGCTCATTCACGAAATAAGACCTGCTGGAACAAATGAAGGATATAGGCACTACTATTTCAATATAGATTAAACTGGGATTGCCAGCTTTAGGAGTTGAATGAATAAAAGAAACAAACAAA